ACACATTAGTTACAAAAAATAAATTAAAATGAATCGCTTAACAAAAACAAATTTAAACAAGTAAAAAAGCAGCAAATTTTGACGGGCCGAACTTTAAATACACTCCACCATTAGGGACGAATTAGGAAATTTTCAAAAAAAATAAAATCCATTAAAAATTCTGTTTAAAACCCTAAAAATACCGAATATCGGTAGGTGCCGATATATGGGTGATATACGATATTGAGGACCTATATAGACAATTCTATTTCAGGGTGTAAAGTACTCACAAAGAACACCTTGTGTAGAACTTCCGACAATTCCATTAAAAAATGTGGCTAAATCATCAAAATACCGAATATCGGGGAGTACCGTTATATGGGGGCAGTGGCCGAAAAATGGCTCGTGAGCTGGACATATCGCTATATTCCATTCGGCAAATATTGAAAAATGAGCTCGGGGAAAAATGAGCACCCCAACAGGAACTCAAGGGCCGGCCATGGTGATGGTGTGGGCCGCCATAGCAGCCATGGTTGCTCTCCGCTCGTATTAATCGACCGTGGCATCAGAATAAATGCCGAATATTATGGCGCAAATATTCTGGAGGATGTATTAAAGCCTTGGTCACACAAACATTTTGGCCGGAGACCTTGGATATTCCAACAAGACTCAGCACCATCGTACTCAGCACGCGCCACCCAAGAATGGTTACAAAATGAGGTTCCTCGCTTCATTTCCAGAGCACACTGGCCACGAAAATCTCCGGATACCAATCCGTTGGCTATGCCAAAACGTTTCATTTATGACCTACAAATACCAATTTTTAGACAAATTCGGGGAAAAGTGTGACAAAAATCATCGAAATACCGAAAATTGGGAGGTACCGTTATATGGCGGCTATACCAAAACGAGGACCTATATAGATAATTCTCTTCCAGGGCATAAAATATTCACAAGAAACTCCTTGTGTGAATTTTCAGGCAATTCCGTTGGAAAATGTGGCTAAAATCATCGAAATACCGAATATCGGGGGGTACCGTTATATGGGGGCTATACGTTATCATGGACCTATATAGATAATTCTCTTCCAGCAGATTAAGTACTCACAAAGAGCTCCTTGTGTAGAATTTCAGACAATTCCGTGAAAAACTGTGGCTAAAATCATCAAAAGGAGTGAGCCGACATATCCCATCTTCACAGCAGATATTGTGTTAGTAGAAATAATGGGATGTGTGGAATATGAAGTACCGGATGCTTGTTTCGGAATCTATAATCGTTTTGGTTATGCAAAGCTGTGACTTTTGTAAGGGAAGATACCAGAAGGAGTGGTCCGATCTATACCATCTTCATAACAGATCATGGGTTGATAGATATATTGACATGTGACAAGTCTGAATGGAATCAAATGTTAATCTAGTGTTTTATTAGCTTCATGGATATTCACAATTTTAACCCTTTGTGGGGGAGGTACTTAATGGATCTTGCAATGATGCAAATATTAGGATTTACAAAGTTGGAGGAAAATAGGATTATCCTTTTACTTTCTGTGCAGTATTTTTTTTTTTTTTTTTTTTTGAAAATTTTGACCTTGTGGTGAGGAATGTACCAGAGGAGTGGACCGATATTGTCTATCTCCGAACTCGGTCGAAGTTTGATAATTATATTACGATGTACCAAATTTGATCAAATCGAATACTCTTCGAGAGTCGTCGCTCGTACCACCCGGACGAACAGACGGACGCTAGATCGATTCCAAATGTCCTGAAACGGAGAGAGGATCTAAACCCGTTATTTCAATTGCCCAATTTTGGCCGTATCAGATGATATATACCCTCTCTATTCATATATCTGAGGGTATAAAAACGTAAAAATCAGATTACAAAAGACTTTAAACCCACTGTTGTTCAAAAGTCTGGCTGAAGGAATAAAATTATTCCATTTCTTCTATATTTACTTCGGTACAGCCTCTTTTGAGAAAAATACTTACCCAAAAGTCCCCATTTCGCCAAATAAATGACACACATTTATTCGGTCAGATCGTAGTAAAGACAAACACCAACTGTTTAATTGTATATTTTTTTCATATATTCTTTATTTATGGTTTAATTCCTTATTATTCTTCATTTTTTCTTATTCATTGTTTTATATTGCAACTAAGTTTTCATGTGTATCAATTTCATTCATTGGTTTTTGTTGTTGTTCTTGTGTGTATATAATTTTATTAACATAACTCGTTACTGTTTATATTTATACGTTTTTTGTTCTATAATATATGTTTGTATATCTATATGCATTATTATTGTTGTTTTCATTAAATGTAAGTATATAACAAACAGATAACATTTGTAATAATTATCTGTTGCAAAACACCTATGTGTTTAGTTTTTGGGGAGGAGGGGAGTTTTGCTGCTTGAGTGTGTGGGTGTTTTAATGCCAAGAACATTTTATGTATGTATGTGTGAATATTGGTTGATTCAACGTGGACAAAGAATTGTGAGTTGTGAAACGCAATTACTGTTTGATTTCCACTGAACGTCGAAGAAGAAAAACTGCGAAACGTAATGTAATTTTGGTCAATTGGACAATGATGTTTGTCTGTTAATATGCGAGAATTAATTAAAGAATACAAAACATCTAAAAAACATATTTTTCTTCAATGTTCTTTCCACTTCAATTGTGAGAAGTATTATTTCAACAAACGCTTAAATACAAATTGAAAAATTGAATATGCATGTTTCTTTATGTCAACTATAAGCCATGTCATTAAAAATTCCTTGAAACAAATGTGTCTTTTAATAAGGCATTGCAAATTGATTGACAAATTGCCCTTCAGAGAAAAAAAATCGAAAATGTATGGATGCCCTTTAGATATCGAAAAATAATATCAAAAAGGATTAAATTGAGATAATCAAGATGTCAAAATTATATTTAACAACAAAAGATGATAAATACTTCAAACTAATGTGAGGGTACTGTCTTACACTTTACAAATTGATTTGGTAAAATATTCAATTGTGCGGTTGAATTGCGGAATCTGTTGTGTGGAGTCTGTATAGAATGATATATTAAACTCTCACCTTAGATGTTTTAAAGAAATTTCCGACAGCTGTTAAAAGTATTCCAGTGACAGCTCATTATATTGTTTACAAGCGTACACAAGCATTTTGGTGAGAATTTTCCAGAAAAAAAGTTATTCGTGATGGAATTCAAGCATGATAGAGTGATTTCTTTATATTTGGCTGGAAAACCACAAGTGGCTATCGTTAGAGCACTCCAGCATTAAAATGTGAATAATCTCTTTTTGTCTCATACTTGTCTCATCGCTTGTTACCGTGTTACTGGTAGCGTAGCCCGACGTCAAGGAAGTGGACGAAACAAAACCGCAACATCAGCAGAAATGGTTCGAAAAGTAAAGAAGCGGTTCGAAAGAAGAAGAAGTGGCAGTGACCGAAAAATAACGCGTGAGCTGATCATATCTCAATATTCCATTCGGCAATTATTGAAAAATTAGCTCGGGGTAAAGCCATTGAAATTCCAAAAAGTGCAAGAAGTTACACCGCAACAGAAAGAAAATGGACTCAAAAGATCTAAAGATTTGCTTCACTTGGCCGAAAATGGCGAACTGCCCAATTTGGGTTCCTCCAATGAGAAAACATTCGCTGTCTAGCAGTTTGTAAACGAACAAAATGATCGTGTTCACTTGCCAAAGAGGTCAGCTGAAAATATGCACCTTCGGTTGGTCAATAGAACTCAAGCGCCGGCCATGGTGTTAGTGTGGGCCGCCATAGCAGCCATGGTCGCTCTCCGCTCCTATTAATCGACCGTGGCATCAGTATAAATACCGAATATTATAGCGAAAATATTCTGGAGGGTGTATTAAAGCCTTGGGCACGCAAACATTTTGGCCGCAGACCTTGGATATTCCAACAGGACTCAGCACCATCATACTCAGCACGCGCCACCCAAGAATGATTACAAAATGAGGTTCCTCGCTTTATTTCCAGAGCACACTGGCCACGAAAATCTCCGAATACCAATCCGTTGGACTATTGTGTCTGGAGTATTTTGGAAAGCAAGGTTGGCACTAAAAAATACCAAAGTGTCGATCACCTCAAGCAAGCGGTTGGCAGCGTGTGACGGTTTCTTTGCCGTTTGAAGGTCAATTCCAACAAATATGAACTTATTCTAAAATTTGATGCTATTTCCGGGATTTTTTGCTTTCGTTCAATAAAATTAATAAAAAAAAATAAAAATTATGGCGTTTGACTTTGATGCAGTTTTTTTTTTTTTGTCTCACCCTGTATGTGTGTGTGTGTTATGGTAGTTTGGGAACATTTGAAAAGTTGATTAAGCGTTGTTTTAAAAAAATACTTGTACATTGGTCATCCATCATTGAATTGAAGATTTTAAATGTCATTTATTGTGCTTTGCCAGGGGAGGATGGGGTTATTGCGGATTGTGTTTTTTTTTTTTTTTTTTTTTTTTTTTTTTTTTTTTTTTTTTTTTTTTTTGTAAATGTCTGTGTACTTACATTTGTCATAGTTTCCTGTTTTTGTGAATTTCCCGTCTTGTTTTATTTTTATTTTTTCATTTGTTAATGCCTAAAAACGATTATTATACAAATTGGTTTTTATTTTGTTTATTTAGCAACAGCTTGTTTTATTGATTAATTCATTTACGGGGTGATTTTTCTTGATTTTTGTTTTTTTCTTTAATTTAAGCTTACACTTTTTAAACTATATTTATGGTATTATTTATTGTTAGTTTTATTTTGCAAATAATTCTCATTTATTTATTTTTTTTTTAATACTACATTTTACAAAAAAATCTTTTGTTTACTATTGATGTTTTGTTTATTCGCAATGCATAATAATAATAATTCTTAAAATGGGAGTTTTTATTTACAGATTTTACAGCCGTCTTATGTTTACAATACCTACTATAATATTTATATAAATGTCTACATAAAATATTTTCTCGTTACACTTGAAAAAATTAGGGTTCTTTTTTTTTTTTTGGGGGGGGGGGGGGTTGGTTTCTCTCTCTATGTATAAAAAATACATGTATAATAATAGAAAATAATTTGTGCTTTTTGTTTTGTTTAAATAAATAAAATATGCTTTTGTTGTTTCTTTCGTTTGTTTTATGATTACTTTAGAAATTATCATACAGGAACAAATTGGTTGTATATATGTGTATGTATAAATATATACTATGTATAACTGTGTGGGCGTTTATAGGAAATGGTAACTAAAGAAAATTCAACTTAAAACATAAAAAACAACCTACGAATTATGTAAAAAATACCCATCAATACAATTCTAGATATCTAGAATCAATTGCCTTCTCTTTGATATGTGACCTTATGCCAGATGTGGGAGGTTATACTCTGATGTTCTTTTTGTGTTTTCTTTTCTTTTTTGTTCTTCAACTCTGGTCAGGGGTTAGGCTTAATTTCATATATTTACAATTTAATACATTTTTGTTCTCCCATTGGTCTTTGCTTGCGCTTCAATCAACAAAAACAAGAATAAGAAAATTAAAAAAAATATATTTTTTTAATTTCTTTTGTTAATTACTCTATAAGCTCTGTTTGCATAAGTGTTTTCCTTATTTTTTTTTTTTTTTTCAATTTGTTGATGACTGTCTCTCACGCCTTGACTGTTATATATAGCTCAGTTTTCTTCATGGCTTCCATTGCTCTCATGCAACTCTGTGTTCAAAAACACCATTGGGCCTGGCTGTTTTTGTAATTTCTTTCATAAATTGTTGTTGTTGTTTTCATGCACATCACATTTTTAATTATTGTCCAAAATATTTGTTTCTTTAGTTTTATTTCGTTTATTTCATTTTAATTTCTCTCATTTATGGCCTCAATGTAAGTTTGGGTGTTTGTTGTTGTAAATGTTGCTCACGAAACGCAATCAACGAACGAAACGCAGAAAGCGGCGATGTTGTTGCTATATTATTTGGTTTACCATTCATTGGCCCATTGACCAAATTAATCATGGAGGAGGAATTCGGTGTTGTGGAAGTGGGTGTTGGCGATTCTGAACGTGATTGTCATGGTTTACCAGGCGACAGTTTATCGGAATTCGAGGAGGAGCTGGATGAATTGGAATTATGGGAAATGGGTCCAATGTTGTGATGTGAACTAGGCTGGCTGGAGGGTGGTGTCTGAACTACATCACAACCCATGGAGGAGGTGGTACTTGAACCAGATGGTGAGGCTCCTGATGGTGGCACTTGATGGGCAGAATTATGGGGATGACCAGTTGTTAAGCTAAGGGGGTTAAAATGGGGACCACCGGCTCCAGTGACGGCGGCCTTCCACAGCAATGGATTCATGCCCAGGCCATTATGAGCAGCCAAACTGGCTCCAAAAGTTCTTTGGTGTTCTAGAAATTCTTGTGAGGGACCACTCAAATGTGCAGCAGCCGCTGCGGCCGGCCCATAGAATCCTCGATACAAATCTGGCCTCACATAAGGTGAGTAATTTGGTATTCTCGCCGCCAGGGGGGATAAAATCTTACCCGGACTAGGATGTTGACCAGGATGACCATAGAAAGCAGGATGTGTAGGTGGTAAATCACTACCGGGTGGACTATCCTTGTTGCCGCCCTCCTTATTGTTGCCATCCTTCGAGGCCATATCAGCCAGCGACCAAATACGTGGCTTGGCCGCAAGACTAGCTGCTGTTGTGCTGGCCGCTCCAGCTGCATGTAACGAGTTTTGTTGGGCCTGTTGGTGTTGTTGTATTAGCTGCTGATGGTGATGATAGGCGGCAATGTCGGGTGGTGAACCAGCTGGTGGCCGAAAGTGGTGTAGAGCGGCAGGATGGAAAAGCGGATGACCACCGCCTGGCATCATGCCAGGACGATCGTATAGGTCCGGTGAGCCATTAGGCGATCCGGGCCTTGAACCCGACCATTCGCTGTTGTTGCCCTCGCCGGGCATGCGATGGTCTTTGTCCTCATTTGAACCCATTCCCGAGTCTTTGGCATCTATAATTGGAAAAAAATAACGAAAAAAAATGAAATTAGATAAAACTGTTGAAAATTCAAAAATGTAAAATTTTTAGACATTTTTTTTTATTTTTTTAAAGACCAGAAAGTGTAAAGACATGCATTAGGGAAAATAGTTTATAGGGAAAACATGTAGCAAAGAAACGATATGTTATCCGCACTAAGTCCCTGTTTCGTCTCAAAAACAAAAATGTGACAATTTTTAATATAATCTTGAAAGAAAACAAATTAAAAGCAACCAGGTTCGACCGGGCCGAATTTTTAATACCCTCCACCATTTTGAAGAAACTTGAATAATTTCAGAATAAATCCGGAGAAAGATACCTCTCAAATAAGACCCGTGGGCTATTTTTTGTTATAGGCTTCAGTACCGATTTTGCCGACGATGGAATAAAGTTTAGGCCCGCTGCGAAAAAATTTATTTACAAACTGTGGATGGACGATCGGCAAAGATCGATGCCAAACTTTTGGTACCCGTAATTTTTTTATGAAATAACTTCCAAGGATAAATGGCCTCGGGGAAGTATTGAAGACCTTTTCCTATGAAATGATACAAAATATAATATTCCCCATAATAGATCTAACAAATTCTATATTCCAAGTTCAATATTTTAACAAATAATGTGTATAAAAATTACTACTAGCAGAAAAGTTTGGAATTCTATGAAAAAAGCCCCAAATAAATAAATATTTGGAAAACCAATGTTTTGAACACAAAACTGTGTTCTACTGCAGTTACCAGTTCATTCGGGTGTTACAATCGCTTAATAAGTCTTAATATCAGTAAGAACTAAAATGTCACATTTTTAGGTTTTTACTTCGTCTTTTTGAATAAATAAATTCTAAAAACATTTTTTTAAAAACAATGTTTTAGTAAAAAATAAACTTGATGCCTTGTCAACTTACCTAATACATCATTATCATCCGTGCTCTTGTGATCATCATCATCTAAATTACAATCATCATCGTCCACTCGATTACGCGGCTCCCAAGTCATTTTGTTTTCTTTCTTCAGTCTTCTGCGTGCATTGGCAAACCAGGTCGACACTTGCGTCAGAGTCATTTTCGTGATAATAGCCAACATAATTTTTTCACCCTTTGTGGGATAGGGATTCTTTTTGTGCTCATTTAGCCAGGCTTTAAGTGTTGAGGTGGTTTCACGGGTGGCATTTTTGCGACGGGCACCATTCAAATCCATGCCATAACTGTAACGAGATGAAAAAAAAAAATATTTAAATTAGGATATGCAAATAATTTAATTTGTTTCAAAATACGCAAAATTTGATTTTCTTGGGAATAAGTTTTTAAATCTGACTGTAATTGTTATTTGTTTTTTATTCAATTTTGTTTTATTTTTTGAGTTTCGGTCATTAACGCCACGTGTTTTGTAATATTTGTTGTTTTTAACACAATTATAGGTTGTTGCAATTTTTAATTGCCTGCCATTAAGACATGTTATGGCAACATTATATATATATATATATTTTTTTTTCATTATTTTTCCTCTGTATGTCTACATACAAATATACATCTATATGTAGTGGTGTTGTGCCATGCCCAACATCGTCGTCATTCAATCCCATAAAGCTTTAATTTATGTTATTGTTTTCAGCATATTGCCTGAGTTGATGTTGTTTTGCTGGGTTAACACATGCTTGTATGTTTGGTGGTCATTTTTATAGAGCAATTATGTGGCTTTTGGTTATTTCGACCAGGCCTCTAGATAGCCAAACAACATGGTCATTCTTGGTGGGGGTGGAGGTTATGTTGCAAAAATGGATCAGCAATTGAACACTCCACAACATATCCACAATTGGCTATTGTTGTATAAACAACAACAACAACATATGAAACAGCAACAACCGAAAAAGGCATTAAAAATAGTCGGGAAAAAAGAAGCAAATTAACACCAACAACAATTGCCATGAAAAGTTTTTTTTTCGTAAGACAGCACATGCAAATAATGGCTTTGAAAAAAATGAAAGAAAATTTAAAAAGAGGGTTACTTTTTCTTTATAAATGCTACTTTCGGCTGGTAATCATTTTAAAGGCCTTAAAATGTTTTTGTTATAAACAGCGAAACACCTGCATTTTCTACCGTTTCTGTCTTAGGATTTCCCTGCATTCACCTAACCTTTTTTGTTAATTTCGATTATGACTCAACTTTTTGTTAGGAGTCTTGGTTTTATTCGAATTTCATTGGTGTAAAATATTGTTTTTGTTTTTTTTTTTTTTTTTGTGCATTTTACCGTTTGTCAGTCTGCTGGCCTGCTGTCTATTTGTCCCAGCCTACGTGACGGGATGTTTTAAATTGTTTAATTGCCTTCTTAAGTTGGAAATTAATAAGCGTTTTATCAACATTTTCCCAACGCTGCCCTGGCTGGCTTGTTAGTATCGTGTAGCCCAAAGAAATTATTAACTGTTATTTAATATGCAATTGCCAACAAAGGAAGTAACTGTCGTTGATCATACCTTTTTTCCTCTCTCTCTCACTATACGCTGTGTCTACCTGGGTAAACAATTAAATTGCAAACAAATGCAAAAAACCGAGGATGCATGGTGGAATAGACCGCTCAACTGCATGTTTTTCAAAAAGTGTTAATGTAACTTTTTGTTGTCAACATCAAGTTAATGTTAATTGTTAAAATATTTAATTGGCCATTTGGAAAGCGTTTTTGCAGCCCAACAATGTTAATGAACAATAAAAATATATTAAATTTGAAAATCTGTTTTCTTTTTTTCATTGTCAAATAAAGATTTAGTTCGACAAAAAAGAGGTGGCATTTTTCTACAGGTACCCTCGAAAAAATTACAGAAATTAGATTTCCTTACAATGTTGCGTTCATATACCACATGAGTTACCATTCATTTGGCCTTGGACTTCCGTTATTGAATTTTTTATTTAATTTTTTTTGTTATCTACAATTGTCATTCATTTTCTCACAGTAATTTTCTCCGTTACTTATAATTTCGAATTTCATTCATTGTGATGAACAACATGAACGAACTAACGATTATGGCTATAGAATATGAAATTAGTTTTAATGTCTATGGGCATTAAACTAAAAGTTTTATGCATTTTTTATGACTTTGGTCATTTAGATTGCAATAGGCGCCTATTTTATTGATTTTTTTCTATTTTATTTAAATAATGCAAGAACATTATGAAAGTTAAGCCAAAGCGAAAAGAAAAAGTTTTGTTTTTTTAAATTTAGAAAATCAATGAACCTGGGAAACAGAAAGGGAAAGTGGGAATAGCATTTACCTTGAGAAATACATTGGAAGGGCAAGTAAACTAGGGAAACTAGGTATTTATAATAGAAAATTCCTAAATTGAAAATAAACAAGTAAGCAAAGGCTACAGTCGAGCGGGGCCGACCGTTGAATACCCTACAACACTATAATAAACGATACAGTTTATATAGGCGAGATACTCGAAAGAATTCCACAAGATATTGTGACAAATAATAAAAGAAAACCATCAGGTTTCGTCCTCTAATTTTCGAATAATAGCAACTTAAACTAATTTGCTCATTTCCAATTTATTGGTAGATGTTGCACTTAAATGGTCTTCCTAGATCTGGAACCAATATTTCACAAAGACCTATAATTTCTCAGAAGTGGCAAAAAATTAACATTTATTATTGGTTTTTGACTTAAACGCATCTATGTGAGATACAGACATTCGACTATATTCTTCAACGAAATCAGCCTTAACGAAATAGTCAGAAGTGCGCCTTTCCTGTATTTGTGAATTCTCCAAAATGACACTGGAATGGATATTTTCGTATTTTGTCTATAAAAGTTGGCAAACTATTTCACACATTGAATATTTTTGGATGGCCATCCAAAACTATTTGGCTTTTGCAATGTCCGGTAACCTCCATTCAAATTTTGCAGTTTTTTGGTCCATTTCAACCCCTAAATATATGGGGATTATCTCCAAAAAGAGTAGGCTTCTATTCTGACCCTCATCTTATCCCCATGCAAAATTTCATAAGGATAGGGCCATAAATGCGATCTGTGTATGATATCCTGATATCCTAACAACTTAGTTTTGTTAGCTGTAGAAATATTACCAAATGTTTAATTCAAAATGAAAATATGCCAAAAAATATGACAAAATTGAAAAAATATGAGAAAATTTTACAAAATCAATATTTTCATCTTTAGGGAGATGTTTTTATGCGATTTTTTAGGCGTTTTTTCTTTGCTGCGAAGAGACCATTCTGAATTAATGAGAACTGTCGAAATCAGTTCAGCCGTTCTCGACATATAAGAGATCTTTCAAGCATATCTTCTTTGATAGACATATATATCGCACATATTTTGCTATATATCCGATTTGATGGATTTTAACATCAATGTAAAGATCAGAGGTAACCTTGTCATGGCTTTTGATTTCGCCGGGATTTAAAATATTCGCGGTTTAATGAAAAATTTTGATTTTTTTCAACACAAAAGATATGGTCTATTTTGCCCGCTAAATATTATCCGATGACCACCCAAATTGGTAGGCTTCTTCCCCGCCCTAAACTCTAGCTACATGCGAAATTCCGCGTCGATTGGTCTATAATTGCGACCTGTAGAGCAACTGCAAAATCAGGAATTTTTTCAGTTTTTGGTCCATTTCAACCCCTAAATATTATGCGATCATCTCCAAAAGAAATAGGGTTCTATTCTGACCTTAACCCAACCTACATTCTAAATTTCGTGAAGATCGGGCCATAATTGCGACCTGTAGAGTGATTACAAATTAACATGGACAGACGGACAGACGGACAGACGGACAGACGGACGGACGGACATACATAGCTAGATCGACTCAGCTCGGCGAGCTAGGAAGATCCATATATACTTTCCTATATGGGAAACCAATATTTCGAGGTGTTACATAAATTCTGGCCCAATCAAACTTATAATACCCCCAACACATAGTGTTGTAGGGTATAAAAACTCTATAGGAACCAAACAGAACAGAAATTTTACACACAAGTGTATTTAGTCAATAGGTAGGTGAAGTTCGTAAATGGGTCATGTCGTTCCACGTTTCGTTTGAGCCCCATATAACTGTAACTCCCCACAATTTAAGCCACATTTTCAAAATGGAATTGTTTCAAATTCAGTATTTAGAGTTCGTAACATGTTCCACCTCCACTGGCAGAACATTGGATATGCCCAAAATGAGCCTTAAAGATCAAAAAGTTATGTTGACTATACGATAATCTGGATATGCATAGTCAAATATATTTATCATTATCAACTTTAAATACGAAATTTGAAATAATTCCGGCGAATAATGTCCCTAAAATCATCAAAATTTCAAATATAACGAGGTACCGATATCTGGAGGCTATATGAAGACCTGGACCTGAATAGACAATTTTCTGTCATAAACTGAAGTATTAATTAATTTTCTATATCCATTAGGAACTTCAATTACGAAATTTGATATAATTCCGATGAATAATGTCGCTAAAATCGTCAAAATGCCGAATATAGCGAGGTACCGATAAATGGGGGCTATACGTAGACCTTGACTTGAATAGATAATTTTCTCTCACATGCTGAAGTACCCATTCGGAACTTTAAATACGAAATTTGAAGGAATTCCTCTGAATAATCCATCTAAAATCATCCAAAATACCGAATATCAGGAGGTACGGTTATATGGGGGCTAAACCTAAACGTGGACCTATATAGCCCATTTCCAATATCAAAATATCAAACACACATTTGAGTAAAATTTCATCAACCTACTTCAATTACTAGAATTATTTCCACAGACAAACTGACGCTCATCGTGAAATCGAAATAGAATTTTATGCTGATCAAAAATATATATACCTTGTGGGGTCTAAATGTATATTTCGATTTGTTCGGAATGACAAACTTAATATACCCTCCATACTATGGAAGGGTATAAAAATGGTAGAGGATTTTCAAGCCGAATTCTATTATTTGTTAAGGATTTCTTTACCTCAAGATGGAGGATATTAACAGTTTGTTCCTGCCGAACGAGTTTTTACTTGTTTTTTCATTTTTATGTCATATTATCCAGTATATTTTCACATTCTCACTACACCCGAAATGTTCTCTTTTTTGGGGGGTGACATATCTACAAGAACAATTCAATAATTTATCATTTTTGGATTACACTTGTTCATTAACAAGTAGTCTTCTTTTTTTTGACACTAAAAGCAAAGTGATGTATTGTTAATAGCAAAATCAGCTCACTTAGATTTCAACCACCCTTAACAATGGTAATGTCAATAGATATTACGAAGGAGGCTCGGATAAAATCCTGGTCGTTTACACTAGCAGAACAATTTGTCATCATTTGATTAAAATAAAGGGATATGTAAAAGATGGTTGGCGAATTACCAAAAGAAGTCTTATAGATAGAAGAGACTGAAATTAATTATATAAAAGTTCCACTATAGGGGCACAAATATTTAAGGTAGTCTCATTTGTAAATCGTATCTTATGTATCTGAATTCTAAAACACACAAATGATATTTGTACATCCTCCCTGCGAACTAAAGTCTCCGAATTCGGCCAAAACTTCTGACCGAAAGTCCAATGAAATCCCGTTTTCTGATGAGTATTCGGTCCGAAAATTACATGAAATGGTTCGTGTGCTGTCGAACCGAAGTGTCGAATGAAAGTCTGAAGTTTAAGTCCGAGCTTCGAACCGAAGTTGGAGCGAACTAGCAAGGATAAGGGAAATTAGAGTTGTCAGACCGATTTCGAGCCGAACACTGAAGTAATGTTGTAGGGGCATTAACCGACATTCTAACAGTTTTCGTCCGAATTTGGAAGAAATGTCCTATGAACTTCTGATGTGTCTTATGTTATGTTCTCATTACACTTTCAATCACGTTGTTCGCTCTCAGAATTAGGTACACGAATTAACCCGTTCATACGGCACGATTCGTAATTCATAGTAAAATAATTCCTTTTTTCACAAATTTTGTTTGTTGATTTGAATGGCAATTTATACAAAAATACATGAAATTCTCACTAATATGAATAGAAGAAATCGTTGTTTTTCTTCTAAAGAATAATTATATCATTAATTTTACAATTTTCATTCATGTTTTCAAGTTTTTGTGTAAATATTGACATTTTGAACATATTTTTGTATTTTTTTAATTTTAAATTCTCCTGGAGAGACACTTGTCAAAAATTTTTTTCTGCCGATACAAACATTTTGAAAATATTGCTCTTTTGTTTGCAGTTTTCTGTGGAAATTTCAACTCGTGGACAAAATGCGTACCGCGAATGAAAGAGAAAATAAAATGTACTTTTGTTTGAATGTACATACGCCATTCAACATTGTAGTTTTCATTCATAATTTTCAGTCTTCCAAAAATTTTTTAAAATTTCATTAAATTTTTCTAGTTTTAATTTTTAAATGTCATAATTTATTTTTTCGATAAATGCTCTCATTTGTTAGGGATGGGACATATTTTTTCGTTGTTCGGAGAGTGATTTGATTCGAACAATGTACAAAAATTAGTGTTCGCTCAGTAGTTTTTTCATAGTTAAGGGTCGAACAAAGAATAGAGAGCAAATCAAGTGTAGTGGAAACGCCACATTAGTTTAATAATATTGATTAATATGCTTCTAAAATTGAGCTAGCTTTCCCTTAACACAACATGCTTAAAATACAAGATATTTGGCTTAAATTACTTACCTATTGAAGGGATAACCAAAGGCTGCATCGTATGGATGATATACGGAGGGATAAGGCCATGGTGCTCCACCAGCCACCAAATTTTCTTTTAAATCCAGACCACCCTAAAAGTAAAAGAAAAACAAAATGAAATCATTAAATATAATTATCTGTGTATTTAAATTCTGATTTATTTAATTAGCATAAATGCCTGCAGACTTGGCTATTTATTCATACGATTTATTGGACATGGATTGTATTATACATGTATATTTTTTTCGATGGAATTTCTTTCATGTTATCGCCTTGAACTTAAATTATTAAAAAATCATGTTAAACAAATAATTAAGCGATGTACTCATGTACAATGTATTCATTTTTATGACTTGCCGACGACAACGAAGTCTCAGTAGCAAGAACAATTAAAATAAAATACGTTTTTTGATAATTCCAACAACAACAGCAATCATATGAGATTCTTGAGACTATGATGTTAATAAATTTAAAACGTAATTATGAATAGCACAACACAATGAGACAAACGAAGACAATTTTTTGCGTACTGACTTATTAATTATTAAAGAAGAAGAAAAAAAAAAAGAAAATACATTTTTATTACTCTACAACATGAGGAGAAGTGTGAACACACACAGCATCATGATAAGACCGATGGACACTGGATTCCGTTCCAGTACACATCGATGCAAAGAAATCAACGCAAATCTTGAAATTCACTTATAAAACAAAAGATTAAAAATACGACTAATTTTTTAAGTACATTTCATACAAGATAATGCTGTGAGGCTTTGTGGCCTCACGTTTTTTGATGTTGTAGTTATTGTTGTTAGTATTTCAATTCCATTGTTCGCCCCAGCAGGCTTGCATGTGAAATCTGTATTTGGCATCGACCCCATCGAATTAGTTCAGTGTGATGAGTAGTGATAATGGAAATTTGTCGAAAATTCAAAACAATTGCGTATGTAAAACTTACAGAGAATTTACAGAGAACACTGAATCCGGTTTCGAATGTAGGATAAATAGAACTATATGAAATCATCTATTAAAGTGAAATATTTAGATAGAAGATAATACAGTTTGATAACTTTTAATACCCTGGAGACATCATTATTCCATTTTTGTCTGTGAAATTTGTAAAAAGTCTTAAAAAGGCCGTAAGATGATACAGATTCCAAATTTATAATTTTAAACAATCCGCCAACAAATGTGGCTAAAATTACAAAAATACAAAATATTCGGAGGTACCGCCTTCTGAGTGATGCAGAAATAATGGGGCTATTCCAGTAGTCTTCTCTATATGCTGAAATTCAAACCATGCCCCTAAATATGTGGCGAAATCAAAAAAATACTGAATATTGGAAAGTACCGAAACATGTAGGACTACAGGGTGGGATGAAAAAAACTGCAAACAACTTCAGACTGCTGTCATTTCTAAGCCACTCGTCCGACAAGCGTACAAAAGCATTTTGGTGAGAATTTACCAGAAAAAAAGTTGTTCATAATGGAATTCAAGCGCGATAGTGTGATTTCTTCATAGTTGGCCGGAAAACCACAAGTGACTTAGAGCACTCCAGAATTTAAATGTGAATAAATTTTTTGTGTCTCATACCTCGTTACCGTGGTAGCATAGCCCGACGTCAAGGAAGTGGACGCAAGAAAACAGTGGCCGAAAAATGACTCGGGAGCTGAAATTATCGCAACATTCCTTTCGGCAAATATTGAAAAATGAGCTCGGGTAAAGCCATTGAAATTCAAAAAGTTCAAGCACTTACACCGCAACAGAAAGAAAATAGACTCAAAAGAGCTAAAGAGTTGCTTTGCTTGGCAGAAAGTGGTGAACTGCCGAATTTGGTTTTCTCCGATGAGAAAATATTCGTTGTCCAGCAGCCAAAAGATGGTCGATGTCCGCTCTATTAATCGGCCATCAGAATAAATGCCGAATATTATCGCCAAAATATATTCTGGAGGATGTATTAAAGCCTTGGGCACGCAAACATTTTTGCCGCAGACCTTGGACATTCCAACAGGACTCAGCACCATCGCACTCAGCACGCGCCAACCAAGAATAGTTACAAAATGAGGTTCCTCGTTTCATTTTCAGCGCACAATGGCCACGAAAACTCCGGATACCAATCTGTTGGACTATTGTGTCTGGAGCATTTTAGAAAGCAAGGTTGGCACTAGGAAATACCAAAGTGCCGATCACCTGGGATTGGACCAAAATACCGCAGAACAACATTCGGGTTTCTTTGGTCGTTTGAAGGCCATTATTCGTGCCAAAGGTGATCAATTCGAGCAAATCTAAACTTATTCTAAATTTAATGCTATTTCCGACATTTTTTGCTTTCATTCAATAAAATTAAAAAACAAATAATTAAAAATTATGGCGTTTGACTTAGTTGCAGTTATTTATCTCACCCTGCATATACCTTGTTGGGTCTAGTGTAACATGAGTATTTTGAGGAGTTACTAATGAAGTGACAAATTTAATATACCCACCATATTATGGTGGAGGGTATGAAATCTAGGAATAATTGGACCCAGGCGCTGGTAGGCATTGGCAATCAGCTATAGAACAAAATGCTAGTGTATTGGAGAGAAATGAATGACAGGCCATTCCAAATTGAAGAACATATTATTAGTTGACAGTGTTCGGTATGAAATAATACAATTTTTGTCTTTGTTGCGATAGTGAAAAAATAGAAATAGATATAATTTAAGTGCGACTTGAAACTACATTTTTCTCCAATTTAAATTACAATTTATTTCAACTTTTTCAAACTTGGTAAAAAGGGAATTTTAAAATAATTTAAATACAAACATTGATTGATTGTCTACAAGTGAAAATAAGAGAAACTAGACGGGTGTGCAACAACACCCTCTTACTCAGCTTTGAACTCGTGCATCTTCTCCTTCTTTCTGTCTCTCCCCTTTAAAGTTATACCCCATATTAGTTTCAATTCATTTCACATCACATTCTCATTATGTCAAAATACCTTTTTTTCTCACTTTCAAATCTTCTTTTAAGATTGCTGTCGCTTAGTTAGTCATTCCGGACAGGAAGAAGATAAAAATCTCTATTTTAATCAAGTTCGTGTAACAACAAGTGTCTTCCTTTCATATTTTCACATATTTTTTCCGTTCTAAGGAAAATACAAGATTGAAAAGCAGTTTCCTACAAAAATTGTCACATTCATAAAATTGATAAATAGAAAAAGACCTTTAACCTTGTACGCAATTATTATTATGATTAAATTATGTTTGATGACCCAGACGGAGACACTTGCATCCTCGTTTAGACAAGTCTCAAAACCCAACCAAGCCAGTCAGCCAGCCAACCAGCCAGACAGACATTGTCTGTCCCCGTTAACGTATTTCTGTCTTTTGAGAAGAATTTATGATGGTGGTTTACAGAAAACGAGGCAATATCTTATTCTTCATCCGCCTGGTCTTATGGCACAAAATATTAGACAATTGTTACACAAATTAAACAAACATTTTCTTGTCATTTTCTTCGAGTCAGTAAACATACGGGCAATATTGCAGTACTTGTTGTAATTTTGAAATACAATGTCTGACTGTCTGCCTGGCTGGCCAAGTGTAGAGTGTAAAGTGTTCACAGCTTGATGTCCAGACAGATGATAGGGGAAATGCAAATGCAAATGTGTGTGTGTGTGTCTGTTTTGTCTAGATGTGGGCCTCTGTGGTCTAGGCAACATCAGCAGCATTGGTTTCTGTTGCAATCTTTTGCTAAACGTTTTTAAATTACTTAAGCCAGCCATTCAATTATGTTTTATATTACCCATCTCTTTCTCTCCCTCTCTCTATTTCTTTCTCTTTTCCCCTGTACAAAGAAAAAACTGAATGAATTTTAGATTTGATTTTAAAAAACAATGTACCAGGTATTGGCCATACAAAATAATTTCTCTCACACTACTGATGTTTTACTTCCATTTGTTGCTGATTACAGATTTTTTGTGGCCGATATCAAAATCATGTTTTGAGTTTCTCATTTTGTTTGCGTGTACGCAATTTTCTTGCCACCATGCAACCCTCCCCACCCCAAATCAAAGAATGAACAACACGTAAAAAAGATATGACTTCTGTTTTAGCAGTAAATATTGTGTTAAACACTGATGTTGTTTGTTGTTGTTGTGTATGGTGTTGGTTTCCAAATGTGGTTGAGATTTAATATCAGACATTTAGTTAAGGATGCACGTACAAGCTTGGAAATGCTTTTGCTTGTTCATTTTTTTTGTTTTTTTTTTCTTCATATATTTTTGCTTTCTTGTTTTGTGCAGAAAATTTATATTGAAAAAGGTGTGATAAATTCTGCTTGTGTTTTTTCGTCTCCCGGCAGGAAGGCGACCAGCCGTTGTTGTACGCTGCCAGAAGAGTACACACAAGGCATTTGAATCGTGAGTAAAAATCATGGACATTTGCTACCGATTGAATTTCATAAATATGTTTGGTAAATTGTGGCGGAAGCTGTTTTGTGCAAATGATAAAGTGGTTTTCGATTTTCATATTTTCCATGTTCTTCTCTTATATTAATGGTCAATCTCAGCAAAGTATTGAAAGTACAAAAATGCAAAACTCAATCAATTGCACCAGCAGAAGATAAATAAAAATGCGTGGAGCTGTTATTATTATATAGACCTCATGCGAATATGCCATAATGAATATGGAATGAAAGCAATTATTGATATTTTCTCTTTCAAATTGAATTATTAATGACCTAAGGAGATGGCATTCAAAAAATTGGAATTTAGCAATTATTGTAGTCCTAGGTTGCAAGATTTTTCGGGTAAAAGTCGAATACATAGTCTTCCAAATTCCATTCCAATCTACTGATAAATTTATATATTTTATTTTCGAACAAAACCCTAAGAACCCAACCATTTCAAATTGTATCATTTAATTTTATGCTCATTTTAATATCCCCCACCACCCTCCCTTTGCCTTACCCACCTCCCCTGCCCTCTGAAAAAAAACTAGATCTCCTTTAACTATGCATGACAAGTATCTCCTCTGTTGACACTGGCACTTCATAACTAATTAATTTGGATAATAAATATTTGTATATCATGAGACACAGACGGTTTTCAGCCTTAAGCTCACCACCCTCATAGACTTCAGCAGCAATTATAAATCATTCTGCGCCGTTTTATGCCACCATATAATTAGTCATTTAAAAAACTGTGAAATTTTATTTGCCCCACAAATCGTGTGGCGAGGCAGGCAAAAAAGGGAGGAACGCAACACACACACTCACACACCAACATTACAAACTCATGGAGCAAAAGACCAAATGGAAATGTTACAATTTTTCATTAACATACGACAGCAGAAGCAGCGGCAGCCGAGGCAATTGTATTAAAGACACACTCCTATTCAGTGTCGGCATACATCATTATCAAAATGTCAAAGAGACTTAAAGAAGTCATTTCTTTGACATTATATGTCACTCCAAAGTGACAATGCCGACATAGGTGATACAAATGAATTGAGGAAGATGGTAAAAAAAAGACACAAACAAACAAAAATCATAATGTCATCTTGGAAATTCAAACAATTTTTCCAGCATCCAAACCCTGGCATTGCCACCGACAAAAAAATTACAGGGAAATGAAAAATAAAATAGCTTTGGAAAATACCCCCATATGTTTGAGGGAGCTGTCTGTTTTCGTATGAAATGAGTTTTAAATTGCTTCTTTGATGAAGATTTCATTTCAAATTTCCTTATCCACACTTGCATTTCGATGTTGTTGTTGTTGTTTTTGTTTCTTTCCATATTAAAGCCTTATTAATAAATTTGTCAACACAACAAGCGGTGACAGCATGTGCATGCAGCAAAAGCAGCCACATGTGTTATGAGGGCTCGAAAAAATTCTGTGAAGTGGCTGCTTGGCTGGATCGATGGCTGTCTATGTTTATGGGCAAACATTCTTGAAGATTATCTGTGGACGATTCAAGTACCCGGAGGCCCCGTGGTATTTGTTTGTATTTATGCAGGCAAAGGATCATCATTGCCCTGGGTTTTTGTAACAACTTTGTTATTTTTTAACACTTTCTCCCCTCCCGGTTGATTCAACAGAAAAAGAAAACACCACTTAACGCTTTAGAATGTGGCGCCCTGTATTGTTGGTGGGTAATATAGACATTTGTAGATGCTGAGAATTGGCCGATGCCATAATTCCATCAACACTTTGAAATGTTCCATAACCCTTGAAAATTAAAAAAAAAAAATAAAACGTATTACAGCACTTGATTGTGGTATGAAAAAAAATCAATGCAGCCAATCTGCCTGGCCACAACTTTCTATGAACTTTAAAGTAAGACAAATAAACTTTTTTGTACCCAAAACAAAAATAACACACAAGCCCACAAAAAGCAGAAAACTCTTGAGCGAGTTCTTTTCTACTTAACAGCAATATATACAGCATGATGAAGAAGCATTCGCCTAGAAACTCAGACTAGGGGTGAAAAAAACAGCTACCTTTTTATGTTGGCCTTTGTAAGGCGCGTGTGTGTGTTCAGTAAACATCATGTATGTGTCTATGTTTTTTGGCCTTAGGGGAGCTTTTCCAACCATAACAAAACCAAAAAGGAGAAAAAAACCCTAATAAAAACATACCCTTAACAAAACTCCTCCCTTTTTTGTCATAATGCCCATATTTTATGACGCTGTTATGCTTGGAACACTCTATACATTACAAACAACAACTAACCACCATTGTAACTCGAATGTAAAGCTACCATTTTTTTAATAAGTTTTCTCTCTTTCTTGTTATTTTCAGCCATCACAATGCAGTGATTTGTCAACAAAACAAAAAAAGGAAAAGAAAAAATTCCCAAAAAAATGTCAAGCTAATATGTACACTTAGCCAAAGTTTTGGGCTTTAATAAACTACAAAAGAAAAGAAACATTTAAATTTAGAAGGTATACACAAATTGTTGCTTTTGTATATTTTCCCAAGGGCCCTACAGTTGTTGTTGAATGAAAAATAATTCAAATTTTAGGCTGTTCTGTTTTGGGTAAATAGAACCGTCGGCTTTGTTAAAGACGAGGTTTGAATATAAGTTTTTTGATTAGTTATTAAAATACTATTTAGATTAGAAGAAAAATACTGATTCAAATCCGTACTTATTCACACATAAATAATCAAAGATAATAGATTTTTGGACGAATTTTAGAGAATCACTCTTGGAAAAAATGGCGCCCAAGCACAATACAGTGGCTTTCAAATATTCACTAAGCATTTTTTGCCACTACTTTTCAAATGTTGGATTTTCCGGGAAACAAAGGTATTCCCGGAAAATGTTATTTGTATCACTCAAGAGTGTTTTCTAAAAAAAAAACAATTGCAATCATGTGTTTGTCTCGTGCTGGTTTTTTGAAGTACCTTGTAGAGAACTGATAGAGAAGAATCATATGGCTCACAGTGGCCACATAGTCCAAACAACAATTTTTACATTTTGACCATTCAATCATCTTCACTTTTATTTTTTTTAATGATGTACTAATAAATCATAGAATTTTATTGATGCCGGTTTTTGTCACAATCACTAAAATGGACAATTAAAACCGAAATAATGTCGCGTCTTTTTTGTCATTCACATACACACAAAAAAAAGCCAAAACAAGTGTGGAGAGAGGAGTTGCCGTACAATATCTCAAACACTTTTGAAATATTTATTTATTCCTTTCCCTACTCTGGGTTTTATTAAAACTCATACAATTTTTCGCCATGTCGTTTTTTTTTTTTTTTTTTTTTTTTTGATTGAAATTATTGATTTAAATTTTATTTCTCTTTTTTTTTGTTCAAGCTATACATTTTTGTGCATATGATTTGTTATGCAAATTTGTCTGTTTGGTGTTCAATGTATTATTTTTTGTTAACACAAATTTAGTGCCATGAAATCAACCACAGTTTTATTGACATACAACAGTGGCTTGATGTTTTCTTTTTTTGTTGTGGAAAAGAAACGGAGGAACCAGTTTAGCACCAAAAAAAAAAAAAAAAAAAAAAACAACAAAGCAAAAGCATTGATTAAATTTTGTTTTTTTTTAATATATTAAGCAGTTATGATATATATAACAGACTATTTTCCGGATGTATGCAGAAAAAAATAAAATATTCTTCAGATATATGTTCTACGAAAATGTTCATTGCCCTTAAGAAATTTGAGAATTTGAATTTCAAATATAAAAATTAAAAAAAAAAAATATTTTCTCTATTTTCCCTAAATCCACACTTTCTCTATTTTCCCACCGGACAGCAAATACAAATTGTAATACAAAATATTTTGAGATAGATTTTTCTTTCTTTCTGTCAAGCAAGAAATTACGGATCAAACAGGAAGGAAAAAAGGAGGATAATATGGTATTCTAAAATCATGGCCTACGTACATAAGGTCGGCTAGTAAACCCATCTGACAACTAAGTTTTCTGTCTGGGATTTAAAAACTACTAACTTATGTTACCAAACTTTTGTCAAAAGTAGTCTTCGAATTATAAACTTTTATTTATTTTCACTGGCGTTCTCTAAGAACTCAGTGAACCATAATAAACAAGGTCTTTTCAAAGGATATCACATGGGATTTAAAGTGAATAAAGCCGGCTGCAATTTTGCGAATTAATATTCTTTGTTGTTTTTTTTTTTTTTATCAATAAAATATTTTTGTTTTAGTTTTTTTTAAGAAGGCAATAAAAAATTTACTCAAAAACTTACCGGATTTGCATAGAACGGCGGTTGTTCAGCACCCATACTCGATAAATACGCCGACATTCCCTCGGGATATACGCCCATAGGCACACCTCCAGGACCGGCAACTAAACCCCCAGCGGCGGCTAATCTCTGATAACTTAATATATCATATTGGCAGGAGCATATTGTTTGACCACTAACCGGATCTGTATATATTGTGCGACCCGTATCACAGCAACGATTACCCGCACCAGGACCCGCGGAACCCGGAGCACCCGGTAATGGTGGCGGCGGTGGGGCACCCGTTGAACCTGGTGCCAATGGACCAGGTAATACTGATGTGGGCGGTGGCGGCGGTGGACCAGCGGCGGCCGAACCGGGCCCCGTTGACGACAACACCGACGACGATGTACTGTATGGAGTGGCGGGTGATATGGAACGCGCGCCCGGCGGTACTGTTGAGGTAACGGCCATTGCGTTGGCAACAGAGGGCGTGGTTAAAGAGGCGGTTGAAGACGGCACGGCGGCAACAACGGCAGCAGCGGCTGCTGCAGCGGCGGCGGCGGCAACTGCTGTGGCGTTAAGTGTCAGTGAAGACGCCGACGTATGATTTGTGGCGTTGTGACTTATGGATGATGAAGCTGAGGTGCTTAGATTTGTGGGTTGGGTTTGCAATGCTTGCTGTTGGTGCAGAGGTGTTTGAGTGGAGGTGGGCGATGCGCTTGGTCGAGTCGAAACGGCATTCTGTAATACGAAGAGAGAGAAAATCAAATTTAATTATCATATACTAGATAGTAATGATTTCTAAAATATATAGTATTTTATTAATTAACTTCAAGACCTTAGCTTATTGTATGGCCAATTCAAGTAAGGGCTATTGGCTTTTGGGCGGAAAGTATGGCAAAGCTCAAAGCATGTTAAATAAATACAAATATCAATCGTTTTAATCGCTGACAATAACAACATTGTGGTTTCTTTGCATTTCTGTTGTTTCATGTAAACCGACACATCATGTTGTGCATGTGTCGCTAATCAAAAAACAACAACAACAACAATAACAGCAATGGCAAACCTTAAGCGAAGACAACAACGTTCATATGTGTCCATTCAGTTGTCCGTCCCAATGCATACCTACTCAAATCAAATGTAAACTTTAAAGATTGACATCGACGATTTAAAATTACACAACAATTGATATTTTTATTCAATGAATGACAACAACAACAACAGACACAAGTGAAAAACTTGTTTATTTTCCACATTCAATCAATAAATGTTGTGAGGTCTTAAAGCTAAGCGACGGGTAATATTTGGTAGGTAATAAGTAGCCGCTGCTTGATTTCTTGATTATTGTCTTCTTTTTTTCACCCTTTCCATCTTTCTTGGCAATACATTTCCTTTAGTTGTTACATTTTATGTGATCTTTATCAGTATTGTTTTATTGGTTTTAGTTTCTTTTCGGTAGATAGTTCTGTTTTTTTTCGGTTGTTACATTTTTATAACTTTGATTTGAATTCCCTTCTGCTTTCTTTCTGATTGACCATATTCTAAGCAGCCGTATTGTATATTTTTCCGTGTGTCAATAACCACCGGCGTTTTGTTTATATTTAATCTATACTCTGATTGTTGTGATAAAACCAACTGTACTACTTAAATCCCCTTTCGGTTTGTATGTTTATAATCACAGTACAAGCAGTCACCAAATGTTTACAAAAGAATTCCAAAACCCAAAAAAAAAGACAAAAGAAAAAATGCCGCCTTATTATTAATCAGTTACACATTTTGTGTCACATCATCAGACCTTTTTTCCAATTTCGATTTTCGATTGACACTGGGTGTTGAAAGAAAGCCATACCAAGGGAATTGTCTTGCTATAAGTTTTCGAAAAGGTCATTATCAGTATTTGTACAAGATTCTAATTTAACGATAACATGAAAATGAATTAAATAAATAATTAAACAGTAGTTGAAGTTTATAGACTTTGTGTCTACGCCAGAAATCAGAAATGACTAGATTTGCCTGTAAATTGTGATGTATTAAAAAATTTCAATTTTTGAATTCTTCCAAAATTATGTATGTTCTGAATGTGGGAAATTTTAAAATAAAAAAAGCGATAATATTTTAGAAAATTAAGATTTTCAGAAATACATCAAAATTTTCTATTTTGGGAATGAAATTAAGCCAAAAATAAAAACATCCTAAATCATTCTCAATTGTGTCCTTCCTTAAATATAATTTCGAAATTAGACCTTTTCAATGTCAGAGCATTTTTCATTATATTTCAATAGGTACTCAATGAGTACAAAATATTAGATATACAGGGCGGGATGAAAAAACTGCAACCAACTTCAGACTGCTGACATTTATAAGCCACTCGTCCGACAGCTGTTAAAATTGTTCCAGTGACAGCTCTTTATATTGTTTGCAAGCGTACAAAAGCATTTTCGGTAGAATTTTCCAGAAAAATGTTATTCGCTGTGGAATTGAAGCGTGATAGTGTGATCTCTTTATATTTAGCTGGAAAACCACAAGTGGCTATAGCTAGAGCACTCCAGCATTTAAATGTGAATACATCTTTTGTGTCTCATACCATCGCTCGTTACCGTGCTACTGGTAGCGTAGCCCGACGTCAAGGAAGTGAACGGAAGAAAGCAGCAACATCAGCAGAAATGATTCGAAAAGTAAAGAAGCAACTTGATCGAAACCAGCGTCGCAGTGGCCGAGAAATGGCTCGTGAGCTAAACATATCGCAATATTCCATTCGGCAAATATCGAAAAATGAGCTCAGGGTAAAGACATTGAAATTCCAAAAAAATAGACTCAAAAGAGCTAAAGAGTTAATTCGTTTGACCTAAAATGGAGAGCTGCCCAATTTGGTTTTCTCCGATGAGAAAACATTCGTTGTTCAGCAATTTGTAAACAAACAAAATGATCGTGTTTACTTGCCAAAGAGGCCAGCTGAAAATGTGCACCTTCGGTTGGTCACCAGAACTCAAGCGCCGGCCATGGTGTGGGCCACCCTAACAGCCGCTCTTCGCATCAGAATAAATGCCGAATATTATAGCGAAATATATTAAAGCCTTGTGCACGCAAACATTTTGGCCGCAGACCTTGGACATTCCAAAAGGACTCAGCACTCGCCACCCAAGAATGGTTAGAATGGCCACCAAAATCTCCGGATACTAATCCGTTGGACTACTGTGTCTATAGTATTTTGGAAAGCAAGGTTGGCACTAAAAAATACCAAAGTGTCGATCACCTCAAGCAAGCGCTTCGTCGGGAATGGGCCAATATACCGCAGAGCAACATTCGGGCAGCGTGTGAAGGTTTTATTATTATCTCATCCTGTATAGGATCCATCAATTTTTTTTTAAAAAACAAAATGCTTTATGGCACTTAACGCCTTCCTGTGGAACCCAAATGTTGTCAATATCTTCCTCTTCAATATTTGTGGACAAAAACGTAATGTTCACTCCTTGCTCATTTTTGAAGGAATATTATCCAATTATACATCTGGACCAAAATCCACACCAAACAGGGAATCGTTTTGGATGTATCGTCTTTTCATGCGTGCGGGATTTCTGTGCCTCAAATGCGACAATTTTTCTTGTTTACATACGGAGCTGACGGTCTGCGGGCCCTATAAGAGCAGACAATAATCTTTAAACTAAGGGGTTTCCAGTTGTGCAATCTTATTTTGAAAACGAATGACACAATTTGTCTACCAATCGATATGGGATGTCGTAAATTGTTGATATCTAAAATAATATCATTTATAACCTATATTGGTGTACTTATTGCAAATTTATCTCATATATGGTTTCTTATTACCCAACATAGAATAATGTCACCTTTAATTTGCTTAGTATCAAGACAAATTATTTTGGCCTTTTTATAACAAATTTGGCAAGATTTTTTTTAATCAAGAATCCAATAAAATCCGAAAACATTACAATAGAAACAATTTAGTGGCTAAAATTGAAGTGAGACAAAACTAAATTAATGCTGTATTTTGGCATTTGCCAAAGGAAATCATTTATATATTGAAAGCTAACAGTGAAGCACAAAACAATTGTTAACAAATACACAACAACAAAAAAACACAACTAGGTATTTAAAACGTAAATGGTACAGAATCTTTTGTTTTATTTTTTTTTTCTGATGCCAAACATGACAATCAGGTTGTTGAGAGTTTTTTTAATACAAGTTCTCTTGTTGTGTCGTGCTATGATGCCAGACATCAATGATAATGGGCCAAAATCAATGTAGGTATGTTGTGTGGCAGAGTGTGACAACGAAATCGATTTGAAATGAATTAAATTGCAAAAAGCTGTTATTGTATGTTATGATGTTGTTGTGCAAAGAGAACACATTGCTACACTGCTCTGTCTTCAATATTTTTCTGTAGATAACAGCAAACAGTAGCAAAACAACAAAGTAATTTCTATGTCATTTGATTACAATTCAACGACAATGGCACAACACGTTTGCACAAACATTTGAGAAACAAGTTTAATTATTTCAAAATGTTATCAAATTAGAACTACCCAGTTGATATTTGGGTGCCTACAAGCCAAAACGTTTGCTCGAAAGACATACTGTCGAAAACAATGAAATGGGGCGTTTACCAATGCCAAAAACAAAACACTAAAAAAAAAATACCCAGGCCAATGCTTTCATTAGCCATTAACACATTGTACATTTGTACTATTTTTGCTTGTTTGTGTGAGTGTGTGTGTGATTTTTTAACATTTAAGTGTTATTTAACTTATGCTTCTTTATATTGTGATAAATACATAATTTATTGCATATTCCAATTCCGCCATTTTGTTGAACACAACAATACAATACAATGATTACCATTTTAGCCAATTGTTAGATTTCGTTGTGTTTGTTTGTTAGTTTCTTTGTATGGATTTTTAACAAATTATTGACATTAAATAACTTATTATCTTGATATTGCAATTGCTCTGTTCCAGAACTTGCAAGAATATACTAGTTTTGACAATTTTTTTTCATAAGGGAAAAATCGGTTTTCACAGCAATTTTTTTTTATATTTTTGCAGTTCTGTTTGGCGAAACGATTCATTTAAATTTGTATAATATCAAATTATTAATATAGAATATCAATTATAACAAATGAAATGTATTATAAAACCTTAATGTTTATTTATCATTTAATAAACACGTGCTATCTTGAGAGAACGGGACTTTTTTGCAATGGAATGTTTTTTGTTTCGAGAAACACTCCAAGCGCTATGACTAACTCCGTTGGAAGTTAATACGTCACAGTTAACTATGATAGGGTGTTTTGTTTTGCATTCGATCCAGATCGAGATAAGAGTTTTATAAAAATAGAAATGTTGTATAATCTAAAAATACATTTTAGGAATAAAATAGAATATCGCGTATCGTATATTCGTCATGGTTAGAATTTCTTTTATTTTAAATATCCCTATAAAATATAGAAATAATATGATGCGCTATATTATATTTTTATTTTTTAAGTTGAAAATGTCTGCCATTCCGGGTAGAATATTTGTGATTCTCTAATTTATTGTTTTAACTAATTTTTAGATTAAACTGCATTATAATGTTCTATTTTTTAAACAATTTTCTATGTCTCCTCATAAAAATTGTAGTTTTACCATGTTCTCTCATATCCTGAGGCTGGCTTCTTGTTTCAAAGAAACATTACTTGAAAAATGTTTTCTTTTTAATTTTTTTTCTTTTGACATTTGTTTCCTTAAAAAAAAATCATTTCACAGGATTTGAATCCTCGCCCGCACAAAATTCTGGGAATACGCAAAAACGTATTTAAAGCTCATTTTGGGGGTCTCAACTAGCAAAGAATAACTGTTTCGCGCTTAATATACATCTGTAAATGTGAAATGTAAAAAATTAGCCATTTTGGTGTCCATGTACCACGAGTTTTGTTAAAATTACTTTTTGCTAATCTCCAGATATAATTTCTCCGATGACAGTGAGACGAAATAGAATGGATCTCAGATGTGAATATGGTCGTAAAAAATGCCAGTCTATATTTTTTTCCACATAGAACTAAAGTTTTAAATAAATGTTGACTAAAAACTTGTACATAACAACGGAGCCTATACGGAAAATGTGAGAAAAGTAACTTTTACGGAGGTCGCGCGAGGGCAAGGGCTCTCTATCCTGCATACATATCTGCCATAACAAATAACTTAAAAAACTTAAATAATACTCCAAACATGATGGATACATAATCAGCTTGGCATCGTAGCATTGCATATTAATGTCAATTTATAATCGAAAACGACGGCAAGATTCCAGTGCGGCTCTGACATTCCTTTAAAATATGTATCTAAATATGCCATGCAATAATACCAAGCTGCTATATTTCGGAATCGTTTCAAATTTTCGTTTTGTTTCCACAAACTAAAAGGAAATCCAAAGCGAAAATATAAACAAATTGGCTTACCAACCCATTATTTAAACAAGGGCATGCCACACGAAATAAGTAGGTATTAATTTTACCACTAAAAGTCGATTAAATAAGTACTAATTTGATGACTTTGATCACTTAAAATCTCGTTATGTATGTACTTATGTATTAACTTTTAGTGGTTAGAAAAAAACTATTTATTTCATGCTATACAACCTTGGATTGATAACCAGATTTGTAATGAGTATTTTTGCTGACTACATTACCCTCAAAACCTAAATTCCTAAATATTTTTAATCCATATTTTTGGGGCATATATATCCGCAACAGTTCACAAATCACAAAGTTATGATCGAATTAAAACACTTTTAAGAAACTTTGATCCCTGTTTACAGGTTAGGCATTAAATAAGATATTTCTTAAATCATTTATGGGTTAAAACATAACAATAAAATGTTATTAACATAACATTTCCTTGCTTTAAAATAAAACCACTGTCACAAAGCGGTTATAGAAGCTCACAAGTTCTTCGACTTTTGCTTCATTATATACAAAAGGTATCCCTGTTGCAGCTTAGTTATTAAAAGTATATCCAGAATGTCTCTCTTAGAGAGGACTCAGATTGGCAAAACAAATTATTGATAATCGCTTTTGACATTGACATAACGATTTGGCTGTGTTTTGAGAAATTCTAAAATTATTAACTTTTTAAACCATTTAAAGAATAAAGCACAGTGAGCAGAAAACTAACAAAATTCTATTCCGTGAAATTAAGATTTCTTGTCAATTATATGGGTAAAATTGTAGATAAACTGCAAATGTGTCCAAGGAAATTGAAATTATTTAGTTGGGTTGGGTTAAATGTCGCTGACACATTTTAAATAAAGAAAAAAAAAAAAACAAGTTTTCACAAAAATTTTATAAACAGAAGCAATTTACGTTGAAATTTTTTTCTAAACTCCACATATTTCAGGTTAGCACCCCCTTTTTAATTAAAAACTATATAAGAATGCACCTATTCAAATAACTTATACTAAAAATGAAATCCAAATTTGAAAATACACACCATTACTAAACACACACCACTCTCATTACTGTGCACTGTCATTTAATTTGTAAATGTTAATTATTTTTTCTTACACAAACTGTTATGGACAATTTTGCAGTTGCAAAATTTTAAAATTAGTGTATAACTTTTTATTTGCACTCTCTCTGCCCTTTTTGCGGTTGTTTTAATGGCAAGCAAAAAAGATCTTAGAATCTTAGAAACACAACATTTTGTTATTTAAAACTTTTTTTTTAATAATTATTATATTTTATTGATATTCACTTATTTTCATTTGCCTTTTCTGTTTTGAATTTCAATTCTGCCGGCGGCAAATCCAAAACTTTTTTTGTAAGATACACTAGTATTTTTTTTTTTTCAATTGTTAATCTTTGGTTATAGAATTTCTAGGTGTTTTTTTTTTCGTTACGTTAAAACTTTCAAGAGGTTTAAAAACAAATGTTGCCGGTTTATTCTGGTTATCCAATGATTTGAAAGTAGTGAAAAAATTCATGCGAACTTTACTGAATGAATTTTTGTGCGGCGGCGGTACGTACAATTTTTTCCTTGCTTTCTTTATTTTACGCTTAGCGGTGTGAGTGTGTTTTCATTTGATTATTTTTTACTTCTACTGCTGCTTAACTTGCTTCTCTACTTCTCGGTGTCTCGGCGTGTAGAAAACAAACGGACGACACGAACGAACAATCTGCGTAACAGTCAAAAGTAGACTAACATGGGTTACTTGAGCATGTACAAAGTGGTGGTGTACAACAAATGGGAATTACACGACAAACACGACACACAACACATATACAACAACGTCGACATCATCATACGTACAACACAACCAGCAGCAGCAACAACAACAACAGTACGACTGTGAGCTGTAGATACAATCCGATGAATGTACGTGTACATGAGGGACATGGATACAAACATGTATACCCACCACCACAAACATCATACAGTCGTCATCGGTAGCCTGAGCTCATTCATCCATCCATTCACACCACCCTTACCAATACCATTGCCGTTACTCAAATCAACGAAGTATTAACATTCTTGCTCTCCTAAGTCTTAAACATGAAACACAAAGAGAGAGAAAGAGAGAAAATTTGAGAGTCATTTACGAAATAAAACACCCCACAACCCCCTTTTTCAAAAAGGAAAACAATTTCGTCGCAAGGCATACTATCTGTGTGACTGTGTGTGTGTGTTCTTTGATTGGAAACTATCTCTGCTCACTCAGAGATATTATTGAGTCAATAATGAGAACAGTCATGTTCATCATCGTCTTCGTTTTGTTTCTAGTAGCCTTGTTTTTATTGTTGCTTGCTGATATGGTTCTGGTTATGTATGAACATTTGTTGTGACGACTTAACGACAAATACTACAAGCCATAGATACGTCGTTGTACCTTTTTACTAATGGATCTCAGCAAACAAAACTTCTGCTCATTCCAAAGAGTATTAAAAGCAGACACAACAAAAAGAGCAACTTTGACAAAGGGAAACTACTGAGAGCGCATTGTACAAAAAGAGCGACTTGAGAAAAGAGCAGTTTGCCTTTTTTTTTGCTAAAATTTCAATTCAATTTGTATCTTGTGGATAGGTTTTGTATTGTTGTATTAAGCGATGGTTTTTGGCGTTTGTTCGTCATGTCCCCATTAAACACGCGTATACAATTCGCCAAGACAGACAGACAGACAGACAGATGTATGGACACGCACACTCACATGCATACGTTTGCAAACTCTTACACCGGCATATCTAAGTACAACTAATATTTTTAAGATATCTACTTACATTTTTTGTTGGATTAATAACAAACAATCAGCAACAACATATTGACACAACTTACTGCTTTGCAGAAGTCGTAGTTGCTGTTGTACTAGTAGTTGGTTGGTCGGTTGGTCGTACTGCTTTATAACCCACACACATAGTTGTTGTTTTGTATTAATTTATGCTTTATTATACCAACCAATGTTCATTCATGCTAAAATCTCAATGGCTGCCTAACAGACTGACCAACTAACTGGATGGCAAACGGTTTGAATGAGTGTCTTCATGTTATGGCTGTGTGGTTGCCGCCTTTTTTGCCAATAGAACGGTCAGCTAATAATGAACGAACGGAATGACTGACAAGAGGAGGGCGGACCTGGGATTTGAACTGGTAATATTAAATACACTTCAAACGGGCTCATTTAGAGAAAACACTATACATATGTTTATATACCAATATATTAGAATTATAAATATTGTATACTGTATGGATATATAAATACTTAGGAATTAAATCGTGGAATAATTGATTAATAAAATTTATTCAACTTTAGAAATATATAGGTATTTAAAATTTATTTAACAAAAACCGAATATGAAAAGGACGATCATTGATTTACCTATATTCAAACTTTCATTGTTATGTACGGTTACAGAATTTTAAGTAAACAATTAATACAGATATGTAAGGATGTATATTTACATTTATGTACTTATATGCCATAATTTGCGAATAACCAGATGAGGGACTTCTTATGGGAAAATGCGTTCTTTCATCATTCGCAATTGATGGAACCTACATGCGAGCGTATCGGGTTTATGAATGGCATGCAACAAAATTTTTGCCTTCAAAAAAAAAAAAAGGCGACTCAAAAGATCGAAATCATTTTTTATATTTTCATTTCTCCATGCAAAGTCGAATAAAATCTTTTTCGATTTTAGGTCAAAAACCTATATATTTTCTACCTAATGTTGGAATTGATTTAATTACCTATGGTGGGCATTATATAAGTAAATAAAGTCAAACCTAAATTTAAATCGACAATAAATCGATTATAGCAAATCGAAAGTTGGTTACGAAAAAAAATATACTTGTCAACCCAAATATATTTATATTACGGCTGATAAAATGCACGTAATATGCAAACTGCTTTCTATGATCACAAAATCGAAAGACATAATCGATATAAAAACATTCAAAGGTCTCTTTAATTTGGATGTAACTTGGTATATGGACTTCTATGTAGATGCTATATTACTTAGCAAATCTTCTTTTTTAATTTTTTTTTTGGATTTCGTGATAGTCGGTCCTAGTTTAGATATGAATGTCATATATATCCTCGTCCGACTTCAATTTTATTGTGGATCATATGAGCGACATGTACGCATTTATCGTTTGATTAATTTGGCCCAAGGATGAACCCTATTAAAACTATCCCATATATATCTAGGTCAAAGTACGTAAAATTTGGTGAGAATCAGCTCAGATATAGCTAAAGGTCCTTTATAAATCATTTAACTAACGAGGTAGTGGTAAATTTTAACCCTCTCTTCAGATTTTATTGAAATTCTCTCCCCTATTGCGATTAATAAAATTACCTCCTTCGTTTAAACAAATCTGAATATTTCCGAAATCCGAAAATTTCACCTCGACAGTTAAAGGATACGTATCATCTGATTTGATACTTAAGTCCCTTTTTACAGAACAGTTCAGATTTAAATATAGATCCTATATATACAGGGTGAGATAAAAAAACTGCAACCAACTTCAGACTGCTGTCATTTCTAAACCACTCGTCCGACGTCTGTTAAAATTATTCCAGTGACAAAACACTATATTTTTTACAAGCGTACAAAAGCATTTTGGTGGGAATTTTCCAGAAAAAAAGTTATTCTTGATATAATTCAAGAGTGATAGTGTGGTTTCTTTATATTTGCTTGGAAAACCACAAGTGGCTATCCAGAATTTAAATGTGAATAAATCTTTTGTTTATACCTTCGCGCGTTATCGTAATACTGGTAGCGTAACCCGACGTTAAGGAAGTGGACGGCAGAAAACAGCAACACCAGCAAAAATGGTTCGAAAAGTAAAGAAGCGATTTGCTCGAGACCCGCCTTGCAGTGGCCAATAAATGGCTCTTGAGCTGAACATATCGCAGTATTCCATTTAGCAAATATTTAAAAATGAGCTCGGAGTAAAGCCATTAAAATTCCAAAAAGTGCAAGAACACCCCAACGGAAAGAAAATAGACTCAAAAGAGTTGCTTCGCTTGGCCGAAAGTGGTGAACTGTCGAATTTGGTTTTCTCCGATGAGAAAACATTCGTCGTTCAACAGTTTGTAAACAAACAAAACGATCGTGTTTACTTGCCAAAGAGGTCAGCTGAAAGTGTGCACCTTCGGTTGGCCACCAGAACTCAAGCTCAATGGTGTGGGCCGCCATAACAGCCGATGGTCGCTCTCCGCTCGTATTAGTCGACCGTGGCATCAGAATAAATGCCGAATATTATCGAGAAAATATTCTGAAGGGTTTTAATACACCCTTGTGCACGCAAACATTTTGGCCGCGGACGTTGGACATTCCAACAGGACTCAGAACCATCGCATTCAGCACGCGCCAACCAAGAGTGGTTACAGAATAAGGTTCCTCGCTTCATGTCCAGCGCACCACCAAAATCTCCGGATACCAATCCGTTGGTCTATTGTGTCTAGATTATTTTGGAAAGCAAGTTTGGCACTAATAAATACCAAAGTGTCGATCATCTAAAGAAGGCGCTTCGCCGGGAATGGGCCAAAATACCGCAGAGCAGCATTCGGCCAGCGTGTGACGGTTTCATCGGTCGTTTGAAGGCCATAATTCGTGCCAAAGGTGACCAATTCGAACAAATCTAAACTTATTCTAAAATTTGATGCTCTTTCTGACATTTTTTGCTTTCATTCAATAAAATTTAGAAAAAAAAATGTAAAAATTATGGCGTTTGACTTTGTTGCAGTTTTTTTAATCTCACCCTGCATTTATATACGATTTTACGTTTAAATTGCACCAAATGGACGGATTTTAAAGAAAAAATATAGCCATAGCTAAAAAATATAGGTTTTTATTTAAGCTTTCTTCAAGTCAAGGAATACGAATGGTCCCGTCAAATTTAGTGTAGGATATACCTCCCATATATTAGTTCCTTTTTATTTCAAAAAGCCGCTTTAAAGCCAGGCCATCAAAGTTGTTATAATCTACTTCGTGTAAATTCCCAAGAGGCATAAAGATTTATTTGTTAGGCAATAAAATTATTGTAGAATATTAAACTTTGTGTAGTTTTTTTGATGCCGCCTACTGCAATCAAAAAAGTTGGATATTAACCAAACATTGAAAAATGTTGTATAAAACTATTAGGTACATTTGTAACCTGAAATCTATTCAACTTTTAAAGCGATTATGCTGGACCTGCTGACTATAGGATAAAAGTTATCCTAAAGACGGAATATGTTTGACATCTTAAAAAAATAATAATTAGTCTATGTTCAATTAATAAAAATTTAAAATTAATATTTTGTTATCAGTGTTATTAGTTCAAATTTAAATCTTATAAAAATTTGGTATACTATTTGTAGGAAGTAATGAGAAAATTTCAGCAATATGATATATATAACCTAATCAATAGTTTGTTTCTTATATCAAATAAATTAGAATAAATTGAATATAACAGTTGAATTTTGAACATGATCGAAAACTTAAATAAACAGCTGATAACTGAGAGATTTAGACCATGAAACATGCAGAAATTTTTTTTTCCTTCATATTCAATTATTATACATATAGATATAATAAATAAACCCTGTCACCTATGTGTTCGAAATGCAAATATTTATAGTAATGCCTTTTTTGGAATCAAGGTATTAAAAGAATATTGTGCTAACCACTGGAGAGATAATGAAAATAGATACCTACACACATTTGTTTTAAGTTCTT